ATTTATACTTGGAAAGAAAATTGTAGTGGAAAGGAAAGAAGGAGAGGTTGTTTGTTTGAGACGGGGCTTTTCACTGTCGCCCTGGCTAAGAGCTCATGCTCCTCTGGCCCCCACCTGCAGAAAGCCAGGATTACAGGCAGAAGCCATCATTCCCTCCTGAGCCATCCTCTGGCAAGGCTTGTCTCGCCCAAACTTGAGCCCCCGCAAACCAGTCCCACCAATTTTGTTAAACCAGTCCCACCAATTTTGTTAAACCATCCTGCTTAATGTGATACTAGAGAAATCCAGCAGGTGGCGCTCATATATTTTTCTAAATGTGGTGCTAACACAATTGTTTAAACTGGATTGCAGATCAGAAAGACTGAACCAACCCACAGAAGCAAATACATTTTGAAATTTCCTATTACCACAGAGAAACAATGCTTTTAAGGGACTCAAGTGCACTTTCACAGCTCGTGAGCAGAGTGCGGTGTTCACTTTCTAGTCTAGCAGCTGGTGAAAAGCCGCTGTTCATAACCGTTATCTGTCAATCAACAGCTTGATAATGGGGAGCTCAAAGTGACCACTGAGAGGTTTACAGACTTCTTCCATGATGGGATGTGGGATAATTATTTTTCCTAGTTCATTTTACACAGAGAGGCTCTGGAATTTGCAAGGATTGTCACTACCAGTTTTCCAGTGAAATAAACTGGTTCAGAATTAATGAGGAGTAAGAAGATTGGGTGATTCAACCAAGAAAATCATCAATGAAGGAAGTCGGCTTAACTAGAGAATCAATTTATATTAATATATGTGGATGAAATAAAAATCTAATTCAAAACACATTTTAACACATTGGTTTGAATACTCCTTATATGTCAGACAGAGACTGCTGGGTCCTGAGGGGAGAATGGAGTACAAGACAGTGGCCTTCCTAAAACTTAGGGTTTAGTGATCGTAACAGAAAAGAAACATGAGAAGGACATTAAGATTGGACTCAAAGGATGGGAGTTAAGTGGAGGTGTCGGGTTACAGCTTCAGAGGCTACAAATGGCAGGCCCTTCATTTTAGCGTGTGGTTTCTTCAGTTCATGGATGGGTTCATCACTTTGGGTCTGAGGTACGGCTAAACATCAGGGCAGAAGGAGGAAGAAAAGAGACAGTATTAAAGTTGAAACTTCACATTCATCTCCCACGTACCTACTTTGGTCCGCTATCTTCCAAGCACTGAGCACAGGCATCTGCAGCAGGCGATTCCTGAGCAGTCATAGCAAGTATACTACAACCTACGACTGTCTGAAGGAAGCCATCCCTGAGGAGTGACATTTCATCTGACACTTGACTGACAGAGGCAGGTGCCAAACAGGGATGGGTAGTGGGAAGCCCTCTAAGCACAGAGCAGCTCATGAGGTGTCCCCAAGGTTGGTCCAGTTCGGAGAATACAGAGCAAGCCTGTGAAGCTGAAGAAGAGGATATAAGAGGAGAAGGGCAGGTCTGGAGTCAGGATAGGGAGCTGGTGAGGAGAGGGGCAGGTCTGGAGCCAGGATAGGCAGCTGGTGAGGAGAGGGGCAGGTCTGGAGCCAGGATCGGATGAAAACCTCTCTTACTGACATTGCCATCCTTTAGTACTTATCAATGACTACAAGTTAATACACACACACACACACACACACACACACACGTCTGTAAAAAACATCTAACAAAGGATGGATGGGTATTGTTTTCAAGAGATTCTCAAGTCAGTTTCTAACAAGCATTCCACCCTGTTCTGTACTGAGGGCCATAAGAAGATATTCTCAGCTAGCTGAAACTCCCATTTGCTGATCATGACTAATTCTGTGAATCTGATTTTTAGAATCAGAGGATGGTTAAAATAACTTTCAAATTTCTCTGACAATAGCTGTTGTGTAGATTTTTAATTCCAAGCAAAATTTTAAAATCTTTGAGGTATGTTATCACTGGAATCTGAGCACCTGAAGTGTAAATAAAGTGTAAAAAATTATAGCTCTTTGTGACCTCACACCAATGAGACCATCAACTCAAACCTCAACCCTGTCTGTAAAGCTGCAGTACTTGCTTGCTATGCACCCAGGCACTCAAAAGCACGCTCTGATGTCACTGGTTAAAGATGTTCTTAGGAATATAATCTCCGTGTTCTACAAACTTTGACAGGCACTGGATTTAGAACTTCTACAACACTGGCCGTGTGCCCCACCCCCCAACTTGCACTGTAGGGACTTCTTATTCAACACCCACAGAAACCATTCCAACAATGACAGTGTACTGGTGGCTTTAGTAACCACCAAGCTGGATCCAGAAGTATTCATTAGTGTTGTATTTGCATCTATTAGATGGAGATTAAGAGGGTTTTATTTTAACAAGATTTTATTTACCGACTAATTAGGATGGCAATTTATTACAAGTATGAAAATAATAAACTTAGACTTACGAGAGGCATGGAGTTCTGATTGTAAAGAGGAACACAAAAGCATTTCTCCTGCTTCAGGGCCTCAGAACAGCTCCTCACTATGTCAGTCATGGCTATTAATTTCACATTTCACTTGCTCTTTATTTTCCCCGGCATCTGAATTCTGGTGGTGTTGATTTTATACAGGCTTTTTAAAGATAAATTTGCTATGTATCAGAAGCAGTTGTTTAAATAAGCAATCAATTCCGACAGCTCGGCACTTTCCAGGGCAGCACTGGGAGCGCTCAACCAGCCTGTCTCTGGTGTGCTCTCCTGTCTCCTCCAGTCAAAGAAGGCTTGCTCTACCATGTGCAGGTCGTCCTCGTGTTTAATAAACCTGAGCCTCCACCAACAAACAACAGTGAATCTTGCTTCTGCTGCATGGAGGAGGGGGCCTGATGCAATAGCCTTCACGGCTCCTTCGTCAGTTGTGTCAGTATTACTCATTTCATATCTGCAGTGAAGCCGAGTCCCCAGATGGTTCTTTGACTCTTAGCTGGAGCCAAAGCAACACAAACAAACCATTTAACTTCAAAATTCAATATCCACAAAGGACAAAGTCAGATAACTATGCATTCCTACCTCAAGCATTTCCAGAGATAATCTGCTCCATTCTTACATTAAAAATAAAAAAAATAAAACAAAATTCTGTTGTATTAAGATAAAATGAGCAGAAACCTCTAAAACCTAATCCCTGCTCTAGGCTTTATAACAGACATTTATGACAGAGCACCCCAGCCTGCCGTACCCATGCCTAAAAGTTTCCTTCATTGCTGATCATGTTTTCTGGACTGCAAATAAATGATTTATTCATCATAGTGTGACATAGTTAGTTATGATTGATGGGTGCAAAATAGAAAGGGACTTTGTCCTCAGCCAAAGCTGAGAAGGGGGCTTGGCCAGTGTGTGCTGTCTGTCCATCTGCAAGCACCTAGCATGCCGTTCTGGTAAGAGGCTCAACGGTCATTCACAGCAGAGCTCCAATGTCACAAAGAGAACCCTGCTCCACTCTGCTTCCTGGTCCCAACTGATTATAATACAATGACCTCAACCTTCTTTTAGGCTTTTAAAATCTCATCCTGGTTTTAGCAGGCAGGCAAATGCCCTTTAATCTTTGTTTCTTTTACCAAGAAAAACATGTTCTGAACAAAACAAGGGGGAGGCAGCCATGTCTGGTCGCACACCCCGTAAAGCTCTTTTTCTCCTTGCATCTCCTGCCTTTCGACACTAGCATCTAAGAAGAGGAAGGAATCTCCACTAGTGCATGCTCCACAGCTTATGATTTTATTGCTATTTTTTTCTCTAGCCAAGTGGCTCCCTCAATCAACAGGAGACTATGTAACAAGCTATACATTCTAATAGTCCCCAGTGGAGAGGTAAAAATTAGAAATTGCTTCTTGAAAGAAGCAGGGTGACATTAGAGACCCATGCAGGCCAGGCAGGCCAGGCAGGCACAGTGCTGGGATCTCATGGGTTAGTGGCACTTTGCTCATGACTAAACGCACAACCAATTTAATGAATTTACTTAGTGAATACTCACTTGCTCACAAACTGCCTCTCTCTATAGTCACCATCTCACTTCCAGAGTAATTAAATTCAGTCTGAGACATATTTATATGCACACAATTTCAGTTAAGTTTCCTTCCAAGAGTTTTATGACTTACAAATACGTAAAAGGAGAAAAAAGCAACTGAAGAAGACCTACACCAGTGGGAGCAGCTTGGCTTTAACCCACGGCTGCTGTCGGCTGCTATTTCCTCTGCTTCACAGAACCTGTCCCGGGGACACAGTCCCAGTCACATGGGCATAGTACCATACCTTTGACTATGTGAACAGCGGCTTAAATCTTGAGTTATTTATTTCATTTTAAATGTGGAATCAGCAAGCCTCAGTCCTTCTCCCAGGCTCAGCTCACAGTGTTCCTACTCCTGTCACTGAATATTCCACCTACAGTTCCACAGGACAGGCAAGCCGATGACAGTCATATAAGTGGCGGTCGATTCTGCATGGGTGCCACTGTGTGGGAACAGCACAACAGGGCATCCCTAGGCTATACCAGAGTTTCACTCTAGAGCCAGCCATGCACACAAGTGGGTGTGAGTGGAAAGGAGAGTGCACATAGATTCACTCAGCTTATTAGCATTATGTATTAGTCACAGACAGACCTAAGGAACCAGTGGTGAATGTCTGGAAATGCCTCAGACTTTGAAGCTCTGTAGACACACACAGGAATGAAAGGCCTCAAATGATCACTGTTGACAGACATTTTATGATTGGAAAAAGAATAAAATCAAAGTAAGCACTCTTCACTGGCAGAAATGGCACCAACAAAATTGAATCAATAACCTGAACATTTCTTTCTGTGTATGTTTGACAGGACCTAGGGTAAGCTACAATAAAAAATGAGACAGACAGATCAGAAAGGACAAACCAGCTTAAGAAGCCTGGAGTTCAGTATCATCTTCTTTCTTTTCCTTTAGAAGCCACATAAGGACCTCTTAAGAAACAAGATAAAACTTATTATGTATGTATACAACAGAGTCAGTGCCGGCCCTTCAGCTCGCCTCACATTCATGTGGAGATCTTGGTTCTAGGATGCTCAAGTGTGGGGCGGCTCTTCGGATTGAGGAGTTATCGTCCTGAGGACCCTTTGATGCCAGTGTCTGAAAAGTAAACATGCAGCACACATCTGTAAGGGACAGCACACTCAGGTGTGCACACACATCTGTAAAGGACCGTGCACTCGGGTGTGCACACACATCTGTAAGGGACAGCGCACTCGGGTGTGCTGCTTCTCAGCCCAAGGGTCTCAGACATGCTAGGTGAGTGTACAACTACCCAGCTGCACAGCCAACTCAAACTCTTTTCTTAAAGAGATCATATCACATTTACCTAAATTTGACACAATAATTCTTAGGATTTATGACTCAGGCTTTCCAAAGTTCTTGTAGATAATATGAATCAAAACATAATTCTAGCAGTTTAAACAAGCAACTGCTTAGAGTATTTAATGCTGTCTAAGTCATTAAGATACATTATAGCAAACCCTGTGCTCACTTGTACCTCAGTTAAGGGCGAGCTCGAACCTGAACACCTACAGCTCTCAGATCATGGTGGGCTGGAATAGAAGGCTTGGGATTCGATGCAGTTAGCATGGTTCATGCCTGCTAGAAGCGGAGGTGACCAAGCCTTAGACACTAGGGCAGCTGCCCTCCACAGCAGAACTGTCTCAGTGGAAGGATGGAAGGTCGGATGTGTTAGCACTCAGCGTGAAGCTATTCTGCTTTCCTCGGTGACAAGCTTTATGGAGCTGACCCTCCAGGAGTTTAAGACACCTCACAACACCTTACAGTCTATATCCTGCCTTCGCAGTTAGACCCTGGCTTTACAGCAGCCAGACTGTTGGAGAGGGGGAGGAGAAAAGCGCGGGCTTACCGACCCCAGAAGGTCTACTTCTGCTTGGAGAGCTCTGCACACACTTTCCATGTCTTCTGCTTTATAAAGATCTAACTCCCTTTTAAGCCTGTCTTAAAGGAAAATCACTCCGTTAGTTTGATATTAAACTTTTACAACAATTCTATTACATATAGAATGGCAGGTTTATAGTCTAAAAAATATCAGAATTCAAGTTGAAAACCAAAAGTATTTAAAAATTTTTACTCTTTGATCCTAATGAACTACATAGAAATTTGAAAAGAAACCTCCCATAAAAATAAGGCAGAAAATAAATCTCAGATAAGTCACAGTAAGGTAAGAAGTGCTGGTGAGTTAATGTGACAAGGACAGGACCTGTCTACAGACTTCTGCGCAGTTCTCCTGAGAAGTTAAACACAGCTAGGCAGGTCTTTTGGCTTCCTAGATCCTAACGCCAAGCTTAAGTAAAGAAACTACTTGTGACATCTGTTTTTGCTCTAAAATTAAAGATAACATTATATATATATATATATATATATATATATATATATATATATATATATAATTAAACTGTACAAGACTAGAATGTAACATTAGTCTTTATTTTTACCAATTGTGCCTTTAAATTTTTGAATAACTTATTGAATAAAAAGATTATTTTTGTCTGAATTTAGTGTGGAAATTAGAGAAGCAGCTCTGTTCTATCTGGAGAGTAATGAATGACTAATGATTTTATCCCACAAGGAAAAACATTGGCCAAAGCCCTGGGCTGTGTCAAGGGTGGAGCATGAGGCCTGGTTTGTGTGAAGCTGAGGGCAGAAGCCACAAGCAAAAATGCTCTCACCAGACTAAGCAACTCAGCAGCAACAAGATGGCAGATACAGCCACCTCGACCTTCACCAAGCTCCAACCCTCAAGGAAAAGGTGCTTAGATCAGCTCTTCTCCCTGCCAGCCAACTGCAACCACTGGCCGTCCTCTCGAGGGCAGCCTTGGCACACTCAGACCCAGTGGCCTTCCTCTCGAGGGCAGCCTTGGCACACTCAGACCCAGTGGCCTTCCTCTCGAGGGCAGCCTTGGCACACTCAGACCCAGTGGCCTTCCACAGATGCACCAGAAATAAATAACGAGCTCACAATGAGGATCACTGAGCACACCAACAATAAAACCCAGTACCATCAGCAGAGGCAAGAGGCAGGCTGTATCTAAATCTTAAAGAACTACAAATCTATAAGAAACGCACGCACGCACACACACACACACACACACATACACACACACACACACACACACACACACACACAAAATGGGCACAAAATAAGCATAAGAAAACCTCAAACTCTTAACAGGTCATCTGGAACAGCTATCCAGTGTCTTAAGGATAAGCGATAGTGTCAACTGTGTCAGTCACTAGGAACACACCATAGAAAACACGAGGGACAGCCAGGGGGAGGTTAAAGGCCACGGCACTCCAGAGGCAGAAGCAGGTGGAGTTCTCAAGAGAGCCAGGCTGGTCAGAGCTTCATAGTGAGACCCAACTCAAAAAGGAAAGGGAGAGAGGAGAAGGAGGGGAGGGCAGGGAAGGGGAGAGAAGGGGAGGGAGCAAGTTCGTTGGCACTGTACTGCCTGATGCAGAATAGTTCATCCTTTCTTTTACCTTTAGCCACATGCTTATACTTAAGGCTTTATGGACTTTGGGTAGGAACCATGTACACCTGTATTGCTCTTGAAGATGAAAATCTCTTATTTTTTAGTTGGCAGGTCACAGACATTTACACATATTCATGTTACAGACATTTACATACATTTACATGTTACATTTACATACATTTACATGTCACAGACATTTACATACATTTACATGTCACAGACACTTACACATATTCATGTTACAGACATTTACATACATTTACATGTCACAGACACTTACACACATTTACATGTCACAGACACTTACACATATTCATGTTACAGACATTTACATACATTTACATGTTACAGACATTTACATACATTATAGTTGCTTATATGGTGGGATTCAAAATATTTTTTCTCATTGTTTTCTGTTTATCCTATAGGTTTGCCATTCCTTCCCTTCCCTTCCATCTATACTGGGGGCTGTAGTCCTCTACAGACTTTTTATTACAGCTACTTTTTTTTTTGAGACAGGGCTTCTCAGTATAACCAGCCCTGGTTGTCCTGTACTTGCTCTGTAGACCAGGCTGGCCTTGAACTCAGAGATCTGCCTGCCCCTGCCTCCCAGGCGCTGGGATTAAAGATGTGCACTACTACATCCAGGCTTTATTATATTTACTTTAAAATGTTTGTACAGCTGGAGTTTATAACACACACTTGGCACTGTTTTATGGAGTAATATGACACTGCTGCACTTACAGAGAAGAATGTTGCAGCAATACATTTTCAATTTTCCCCTAAATTTTTTATTCTATTACCATCACCAGATATTTTCCATATATTATAAATCAAAATACAGGGCTAATATTTGTCTCTGTTGTTTCTTTTCTAAAGTGACTTACACTCACAAGGAGCCTTTATATTTACCTATGCCCGGCTGCTCCTGGAGCTAACTCTACCTTTCTATTTGGAATCCCACCCTACCTCTTGGAAACCTTACTGTAGCCTCCACCTTCAGTGTGGTTTGTACTGTTGAGGAGTCAATCAACTCACGTTTGCCTGCACTATGTTAAGTGGACAGCTCTCACGGTCAGTCAGTGTGACATGTCCTTCCGTGTCTTCTGGTTACATCATTTCGGATAAGAGGTCTCATTCCTTTCTTCTTTACTTTTAGCTAATGTGTCTTTGCCTCTTTCTCTTCTTCTTTTCTGCATGATTTTCACTTTATGTCAGTTTTTCAGAGATTAAATATGTGTATAGAAGTTCAATTTCTTAAGATGCTTCTTGGCGCCATCTGAGCTCTTTGTATTGTGTTTCAAAGTATTTCATTATTTTTATAAAATGTTTTGCTATGATTTCCCTCACACATGAGATGCTATGGACGAATTGCAAATGTACTATGCTTAACTTTAAAAGCAGAGCCAAAAGACCACATGGCACTTCACTGTGTTTCCATCACTAATGTTAGAAAACAGACAGGGGCCAGTGGTGAAGCAGGCAGAACTGTAACTGAGCATGAGGGAAGGTTTGAGCAGCTGATCAAAGAAAGATTCTGTTTGGTGCTGGTTACATGTCAGTGTTTCTCAACTCACATGCATGTGTAATAAAAAGGTGAATTTTGCTGAGTGTAAGCTAGATTCACTATAACATGCTAAGTAGGAAATAGAAAATGTTACCTATGTAGCATCACATTTAACTAGGACATTAAACACATCAATTCAGATGACAAGCCTGCCTCAGTGGGATGCTGAGTAACCATCAGAAAGATACAAAGGGGCCCAGAGGAGTGAAACCCATGTCAAATGTCCCCCAGGAAGGGAAGGCATGCTCCCCCACCCAGATGGGAAACACTACTCATAGGTCTGGGCCTCCCTGACAGCTGGACAGACTGACTCCAGAGAATTGAAAGAGGCTCTAAAAGCCAAGAGCTTGCTAATTCTTTGGAGTGGAAAGGTCTTTTTATTTTTTAAGCTAATGATCTTTTGTCTCCCCAGGGCTCTCAGTTTAAACTTCTTGTCTTGAAAGTTTAAAGGTACTTCCATGTAAGTTCTCATAGTTGAATGGGATTTATTTTGGCTTTGTCTTGTTTTTAGAAAGTTTTAATAGAACCACATTGTAAACAAGGCCTTTGGAAGTCCGATAAATAATTCGCAGATGACATAATTCACTGTAGAGTACAAAGCTAAGGATAACGGGTAACTCTCTCCTAAAGCAGCCAGGATATTGTTATTTAACCCTGCTGATGATACCATACTCAACACAAAAACCTGAAAAACAAATTCAGTGTCACAGGGAGGGGTGCTGCACTGTCATCAGTTTAGGTTGGTTTATTCCAGGAATGAGTATGTGGCTCAATCCCACAATTCCATGAGGCTGACAGTACTAGCTTCCAAAGAAAGAGCTGCTCAGAGTGCAGAGCCTCTGTTGGACTCCGGTCCCATCTAGAGCTTCCTCTGAGGTTCTGTGAGTCAGCAGATCTGCTCCCTAAATTAAGGTTTTATTCTATCTAATACATGCACTAATTTGCTACAGTCAGAGACCTTAGACTCAGCCCCACTTAGCTCAGACCCTCTACCATCTCAGTGTAAGAAATCCCTTTGCTTCTTTGGGCTGTTGGCTCTCTTATGCGTCTTCCCCTAGTGTGAGTGTCCAGAGTTATTAAATTCCATCCTATGTGAAATCCTCAATACAACTCTCTATTGGGCCTGGAAACAATATTAATTATTTGAAACAAATGTGATTATCTTTTAAGGTGCTGAAACCACTTTGAAGTACAAAAATGTATCTCTGATAAAAACTTTAAATCAATAAAGTTGGCAAGATACAATTTTTTATATAATAGACATGTATGTCCGGCCCCATGTAAGAGCCTTATTTGTTGGTTGAGGTCAGAGAAAATGACACGTGTTTATCAACTTTAGTTCTTAATTTCCTTCTTTTTTAACTTCCAGATCTTATGCCTTTAGTTATTTTCTCTACAGTAATTTTAATGGTATGTACTAAAATATTTTTTAAACTCTATAGAAAATAACTGAAGGCATAAAGGCTGGAAGAAAAAAGAAAGATACTTCAATTTTCAGATGATACAACTATATATATGCAAAGTTAGTGAAAATTAGTGCAAAGAAAATAATTTAGGAAGTTGGCAAAATATAAAACTAATATACCCAAATAAATAGACTTTATTATCATCGATAATGGTGAAGATGACTTTTTCTCAGATAGGAAGTCATAAAAATGTTAATAATTCTAAGTTAAATCCACTGCATGTGATCACAATAAAAACACAAATATGTTTTATCCCCCTCGGTATAAGGCAAGTGATCTGTAGTATGGATGCAATTTTATGGGGGTTTTTGCCCCATTCTAGCCTGTATAGCTCCCGATAAAAGACACAGAAAGCTGGTGCTTTTATTACAAGCTGTAAGCCTACACTTGCCAGGTCCTGAGCTGCTCTGACCTACACTCAGCCATCGGCCC